TCCACTGTATTTCAAGCTATACCTTCTGTATATTTTATTTTACTCATTTAATAGTTTTACGTCATGTAAAAAATATTTTCGCTTAGCAGACTAAGCTAACATAGGGGTATTTTTCTGAGCTATTTAAGAATTGATTAAATATATAAATATTAAATGTTCTCTCAAATAGTCTATAAAGACAGAAATGTTAATCAGTATTCCCTAATTAATAATAGGCGTAAGGGAAAGGGACTTATATCCCGTGAAAATGTCAGCATTTTTTATTTATTAGTCAATAATTAATTATTATTTTATTTTTATTTCTTGATGCTATTTTAATTAATTGAATTGTACTTAATTTTCATTTGTTAAATTGCACATAATTTTATACTTTACTAAGTTTACTTTGGTTTTCCGCACTCGTTTATACATACAAATAAACTGTGCTTAATAATCTACAGTTTTGTTTACATATACATATATGTGTGTATGTATGTATGTATATAACGATTCGATGGTGCAGATGACTTGCCCTGATTTCCAAACTGCGTACATAGACTAACAGAGTTATGTAGATGGAAATAACGGACATGCCAACAAACATGGCTTAATTCAGTATAATTTTATTATTGGGATAAAGCATTTTCAAAGACCCAATATTTGCTTCAAACAGAATTATGGGTGCTGAATGGACACCACAATTTTAAAACTTATTAGCCCATTTCCAAACATTGGACGATACAGCGGCCCAAGTGTCGTGTGAAAGCTAGAGCAGAAAAAAATGTCGAAAAAGAGAAAGTGTATTTGGGTTGTAACGATATTCATAATACTAAAATGTTTTATCAGTCTGATTGCCTTAAACTATACGAAAAAGGTTAAAAGGCGAAACAAAAGTGATAAAAAAACGTGAGATAAAAACGTGAGAAAAGTTATGTGCTCCGTTTTACAAGTTCAAAAATCATGATTTGGTTGATTTCAGCGCGTTATAAAATGTGTTGATTTCAGTGTGTTATAAAAAGTGTTTCATAATTCAAAAAGTAACGTAATTTTAATATTATAAGATTTACTGATAATATTTTAATGTTGCCTTCTATTCTTAAGCAAAGGATTTATTGATTTTAGCAAAATTTTATATGCAAACAAGATATTAAATCTAATTGATTTTAGCACAATTTTATATGCAAACAAGATATTAAATTTGATTGATTTTAGCACAATTTTATATGCAAACAAGATATTAAATTTGATTGATTTTAGCAAAATTTTATATGCAAACAAGATATTAAATTTGATTGATTTTAGCAAAATTTTATATGCAAACAAGATATTAAATTTGATTGATTTTAGCACAATTTTATATGCAAACAAGATATTAAATTTGATTGATTTTAGCACAATTTTATATGCAAACAAGATATTAAATTTGATTGATTTTAGCAAAATTTTATATGCAAACAAGATCTTAAATCTGAAAATGTTTCTGACATTGTTTCTGTAGATTAAATTATGTTCACATATCTGTTCCGTTTTTGATGGAACAAAAGATTAACTCTTTGATAGTTATTTAACATACTTTGAAAAAAAAACGTTGCAATTTAAAAAAAAAAAAAAACTTTTTGAAAAAGAAATATTATCCTCAGTTTCGAATTTTTTGAAAAGGGAAGCATTAGCATTCCATGTTCGCGAGTGTGTCAAAATAGATACTTAAGATTCATTAAAACATAAATTTCTAGCATATGTTTCCAGCTCTGAACACGTTAACTTTAATGATTTTATCTCAGTGGCTTTCGGTAAATTTAAAGACACACATAAGTATTTTAGACAGAAACTAAAATTATTGTGTGTTTTGAAATTAAGTGACCAAATTCTAATAAAGAAGTTATGGATTTCCTGTGTGTGGAATTTGAAATTCGTGTGTTTAATAGAAGTGCCGTTATCTAAAATTAAACGCAAAAAGCAAAAATATTTCCATCTGCTAAAGTTCAGCTAAAGTGTTTCAAAATGTAATAGCGATTCGTAGATCCATCAGAAAGCAGCACACTTTACTCGCATTTGCTGTAGTAATCGACTAAGTGTACTTTACTCGCATTTGCTGTAGTAATCGACTAAGTGTACTTTACTCGCATTTGCTCGCACTTTTGCTGTAGTAATCGACTAAGTAAACTCGCATTTGCTGTAGTAATCGACTAAGTGTACTTTACTCGCATTTGCTGTAGTAATCGACTAAGTGTACTTTACTCGCATTTGCTGTAGTAATCGACTAAGTGTACTTTACTCGCATTTGCTGTAGTAATCGACTAAGTGTACTTTACTCGCATTTGCTGTAGTAATCGACTAAGTGTACTTTAACTCGCATTTGCTGTAGTAATCGACTAAGTGTACTTTACTCGCATTTGGCTGTAGTAATCGACTAAGTGTACTTTACTCGCATTTGCTGTAGTAATCGACTAAGTGTACTTTACTCGCATTTGCTGTAGTAATCGACTAAGTGTACTTTACTCGCATTTGCTGTAGTAATCGACTAAGTGTACTTTACTCGCATTTGCTGTAGTAATCGACTAAGTGTACTTTACTCGCATTTGCTGTAGTAATCGACTAAGTGTACTTTACTCGCATTTGCTGTAGTAATCGACTAAGTGTACTTTACTCGCATTTGCTGTAGTAATCGACTAAGTGTACTTTACTCGCATTTGCTGTAGTAATCGACTAAGTGTACTTTACTCGCATTTGCTGTAGTAATCGACTAAGTGTACTTTACTCGCATTTGCTGTAGTAATCGACTAAGTGTACTTTACTCGCATTTGCTGTAGTAATCGACTAAGTGTACTTACTCGCATTTGCTGTAGTAATCGACTAAGTGTACTCGCATTTGCTGTAGTAATCGACTAAGTGTACTTTACTCGCATTTGCTGTAGTAATCGACTAAGTGTAACGACTAAGTGTACTACTTTACTCGCATTTGCTGTAGTAATCGACTAAGTGTACTTTACTCGCATTTGCTGTAGTAATCGACTAAGTGTACTTTACTCGCATTTGCTGTAGTAATCGACTAAGTGTACTTTAAGGAAAGAAGAAGGAAAAATAGAGTGTGAATTTGGATTGCATATTACGATAATTATAGTAAAATCTTTCGTTAATCTGATTAGCTAAATCCTATGCGCAGTAGGTTAAAATGACATAGTGTCAAATTAGTTTTTCAGATATCACGCAGTTTAGAAAAAGTTATTAAAGTTCTAGAATAAAAAAGGAAAGCGCCCAAATTAAAAATAGGAATTAAGGAGCTATTACTAATTTAAAGTATAGTTCATAGTTACATAGTTTTTATATATACACATATTTATTTATTTAAGATTAACAAATTTTCTTTCTCAAAAGTAAAACTTTCTTTTTAATATGAAACTTCAGTAGTACCCATATGATTAATCAAATTTGATATATTTTTATGACTAAATAGATGATGTACCCGGCATTGATCAGGATTTAAGAGAAGAGTCTTCATTTAGGGGAAAGGAAAGACTTTTTTTAGATTCTCGTTTTCAAAGTATGAAAACACCGATAGAGAGAACATTTAAATTCTGCTCTAAAGCTACTATACTATGCTGAAAGTTTTACACCCTTCTAAAGAGATAACTAACATACCATCAACCAACAGTTTGAGTAAGAACTGATACTTATTAATTAACTGAAATGAGTCTGCATTTATTACTTTTAAATCTCTTGGTTTGTTAATTAATAACTGAGTAACATGCTTAAATATTGTTGCGAGCGTACGGGTTAGTAAGGTATTGAATGCACAAGTCCGATGAAAAGTGAATAAAAATGTATTCTTATCACAACAAATAAAACAGACTGCTGAAATTTCCTCAGAGATATTCATATAATATCGCAATATCTCACAGTAGTTATATTTTAAACTACAACAACGTTGAATATAATTAAATTCAAAACACTGAGAAAGCTAATCCGATCTCACCTCGAATTCGCTACAATCAATATCAGCACTAAGTAAACAACTGAATTGAGATGCTTTCCTCCAGCTTTTATAAGCTTTTTAATCGTGCACGAGAACATTCTGGTATTTTTCTCGATTCCGGGTAGCAAAAGAGTACAATTACGAGATATCTATGTTAAATGCGCTTGCTCCTGTATTTTAAGTATTTTAAGTTTTCTGGCGTAGCTTTCTCTTCAAATAAGTCTCGTGCTGCATTGCACGGAAATATAAAACAATTTTAATTACAAATTCTACAAAAATAGCTAAACAATATAAAAACCGTAACAATATATTACGCTTTACTGAAAGATTGCTGAAGATACTTTAAAATGTTTTAATTTGGGCAGTGGTAAAAATTTTCTTTTAAACCGTTGAATTTGTTTATTAAATTCGGAAGACAAATAGATTGCGTTTTACTGCGTCGATTTAAAGGGCATTATTCACTAATAATTTGTTCTTTGAAATCTATTGCGGGTATGTAAAGCACCTACAAGCAATATCTCGAAGAATTAGCAAGTAATACCGAATCCAGACAAAGGTTAGCTCTCCGATATTGATATTGATTGTAGCGAATTCGAGGTGAGATCGGATTAGCTTTCTCAGTGTTTTGAATTTTTGACGATGTGCCTCCATATTTGCTAGATCTTTATCAACCAATTTTGCTCTTCTGCTCTAAAATTAAATTAGCAGAGTACTAGGTAAATTTAAATAGTCTATATTGATTTTTGGCAAAACTATTAAAAAACACAGGGTATGTGAAACTCAGTATGTATACACATAAGCAACATGTTCTGTTTAATGCGCTGAAAGCGTTTTCTATTAAAGAGTTTTTTTATTATTATCTAAAACTGAAAGTATGAGGTTTAGTTGTTTTTGTTGGATGTTAGAAGTTTGTTTTGAATCTAATTCAAATTATAAGGTAAAATAAAATTATAAAATAACTTTTACGAACAGACATTTCTTTTCCATATATTCATGTCATTGAAGTCACTTTATCTTTTTATGAGCAAGCAAAATAAATTTAACTTACTTTTCCAGGATTGGCTGTTATATCTGTGGTGACTTCAATACTTTCATCACTTGGAATATTCTCTGTGCTCTGTCAAATGAAACACATAAAATAAAATATCAAATATGGGTTATTTATAGCAGTAGAAATGCATTCAAAAACATTAAAAAATTTCGGCTTTAAAAAATGTAAATTACTTGTAGTTAATTAGTTTATAAATGGTAATACTACTTTTTAATTATCAATAGAATACAATTTAAAAATAAATAAACTGCAAATGTATTCTTCTTTTAAAACGTCATGTGAATTTTGATAAAAATATGAAAATGCTAATAAAAGTAAATAAATTGACAACCATATAACAATAGCTCTTTTGAGGAAAACATTTAGCAGTCGTATAATTTCCCCCAAGTCTTAATTGACAATTATGATCTCCAGATTTAACACCATTCAATGCTTTATTCTTTGGAGCATCTTAAAAAAAAGCATATGCAAATAAACCACGAACCACATAATCGATTAAGGGGAATACTTGACCAGAAGTTTAAGAATTAGGTATTAAAATTCTAACACGAATTATGATGAACAAGTCCATTATTTATAAGCTCTCGATAAATAGAAAGAATATTTTAAAGTAATAGTCTTAGAATACTGAAATGGCAGAAATTTAATTCATACCATGTACCACTGCCTCAGATCAGAAGGGTTCCAACGGAAACATCTGCGTCTAAAGTGCAATACTTTATGAATACGGTGTACGCCTTATTTTGGGAGACGTTGCTGCAATTACTCGTGTTATGGAAATGACCAATAAAAGTCTTGTTCAATTCTTAATTGTATTGTTAGCAATTCCTTTGGGGAAAAAAAGTGTTATTTCTTTCATAACTGTGGGGGAAGAAAGCACGTTTCAACTCGTTTCCTAGCATACTCAAGGCAAGCATAGTGATTGGTAGGTAGGTATGGAGCCGTTCACCCTCCTGGGCAAGCCTAAGCTCGCCTTATGGCTTTTCTAGACTAGCCACGAAGGAAAAACATATAGGACAACACAACATAAATAAACGAAGTCTCCAGCAGCAGCCATATTGGATGTTCTTTGTTATTGTTCTAGTCCAATTGCGACCAGGTTTTTATTAATTCTTTTATGATCTCTTTTGCTATGATTTTTGCTTCTTTTCCGGTATAAACCAGGTCTTTAAAGTCCTTATTGCTACTCCTATGGTCTTTTGTTAATCCACATTCTTCCACACAGTGTCTGTTATTTCTCAGCTTTCCGCATAGTAAACAGTTTGCGATTTCTTGAATTTTTGTAATTCTCTATTATTTCTCTTTTGGTAAGTCGGGAATCTGCTGTGGCCTGAAAGGATCTGACAAAGGTATTTATCGGCTATGAATTTCATTTTTTCGAGATTTCGATGTTTTCTTAGTAGTTCTTTCTAAGGTCTGAATCTTTCCATTTTTTATTCCATGCAAGCACAATGGTGCTGAGATTAGACGACTGTGCAGAATGTGGAAGATATTCAACCTCAAATCATTCAATCTACCAATACGGTTCGGTTCGAAGGATTTGAAAATTTAACCCATATACAATATGCTTAGGAACTGACATTTCATTCTTTTAAATCAATTCAAACTTTTATTTTCTGAGTAGAAACTATCAAGCCGAACGACGATTATTGGAGCAGTTAAAACAAGAAGAAACAGTGTAATATTACTCTGATTCCTTTTGCCTTAACTCATTCAATAATTTTATTCGTTAGAAGCTTTAAAACGCTACGATTGTGAGGTGTGAGATTGTGAGGATTTTCCCTTGGCGATTTAAAATGTACATTGCATGCTTATACAGTTTTGGACATTAAAATTACTACATTTAAATTTAATTACCAATTTAAAATATCGTTAATGATGTTCTGGAATTTCATTTCCCAGATTCTTAAAATTAGGAAGCAATAAGTTTATGAAACTGACTATTAAATATCAGTGGGGATGCTAACCACAGATTATAGAATCAGGCTCTCAACAACTATGCAATGTCCAAACAACTGATTCGGGGCCCACAGCGGCCGAGCGGTAAAGTCGCTGAACACTGGTAGTTCGGTCCGCGAACGGGCTGGCTGCATGGTTGTTTTCGTGGTTTTCCCCATGTGTAACGTGTATACGAGCCAGTGTCCCTTAGAAAGTCCTCCACGATAGCCCTCGAGGCTACACACACAAACAACTGATTCCAAGCACACACCAATACCTTCTAAAAAGAGTGTCGTGGTTTTTCCGCTAGAAGGCGAAGGAGTATCTCAATGCCTCAGCTTGGTTCGAGAACTTTATAGCCGGACGGTAGCGACAGAAAGGTGAAGGGCCTGGCCTCAGACACGGATACCTTTAGTCTAATTTAACTCCTTACACTTCCCTGCGAAGATCCTGTCATGCATTGTATCAAGCAACCTGTTAACCCTAATTTCCCCTCCTCGCATAGGTGAAATTTAATAATTTTAGTCAGGCATGTTTTCGTTGTTTTCTCCAGTTCACTGCATTGACAAGCCCCCACCTGTTAACTACCAAATGTAACTGTGTACCACTAATTTGTGACACTCAATTAACGATAGATGTTTTCTTTACTTACTTTGTTTGTTTTAATTTTTAAAATTTTAGAACACTGGACTCATTATAATTTTTACTGGGTTTTTATTATTTTCTCAATATTACAACACATATTTACGATAATGATTACTTAGTTATGTGTAATTAAGTTACTTGATTTTGAAATGTTATGCTGCGTAAACACTTTTCATCTTGTTCAGTTTGTTTTGCATTTGAATATGCAAACTCCGGTTGTGTTCTAGAATAGTAACTTACTTTTTCAGGACTGACTGTTGTATCTGTAGTGACTTTAGTTAGCTCACCATGTAGTCTCTTTCCTTGCTGTGAAATGAAATGTATAAAATATCAAATACATGATATATACAACATTGCAAATTTACTTCATGAATATTTTGAAAATAAGTAAATTCCCTGCAGTATTTTGATTAGAGTTAGAAAGAGTAACACTGTTATTTATATATCTAATAGAACATGTATTAAACAGAAATCAGTTGCAAATTAATCTGCTTTCCAGGATATGATAAACATAAAAATATGAAAGTGGAAAAGAAAATGATTAAACTAACAACTACACAAGAATAGATCTTTTGAAAAAAAATTAATATTTAACTGGCCGTTGTGATCTCTAGATTTAATAGCAGCCACGTAATTTTATACCTAGAGCTACGTAAAAGGAAAAGCATATGCAAAAAGGTCATGAACCTTATAATAGCTTAAAGCGAATATTCGACGAGTAGTTCGAGTTAAAAAATGAAATTTTAACAAAGTTTATGGAGAGCAAGTACTTTAGCTACGAGCTCTCGTCAGTTAGCTTTTAATGCAGGAATCATTTAAAGCAGTAGTCTTACAATACCGAAACAGTCGAAATTTTATCCAAACTCTATACTGCTACATAACGAAATAACAAGGGTTCCACTATGATACGGAGATATCTACTTCTATAATACATTATTTTATTAATAAGGTGCACGTCTTTTTTTAAAAGGCAGGGCTGCAACGATTCTTTTAGATATACAAGTCTTGTTCAATTAATGAATGTATTATTTACCATATTGTTCAATTAATGAAAGCATTATTAACCATATCTCTGGGAAATGCAAGGGTTATTTCATTCATAATTGAGGAAAGTGAAAGCAGTTTTAACTGCCTTCAGTGACACATTCAAGGCAAGCTTAATGGTGTGAAGCTTACCAAATTGTGCAGGAAGTTTCCTCCCATTGATGGGCACTTAGACGATTTAGGCTTGGCCACTACTAAGACCGAAAGTGGTGGCCACTTATGGATGCTTCTAATAGGGGGGGGCACTGTTACCTCCTCTGAAGGGACAGATAATTACAACAATGCCTTCTTCGGGATTCGAACCAGGGCCCTTTGGTACGCTCTCCTCACCACTATATGATCTGGGCGTCATTGTGCAGGAAGGAAAATTACTTCAATTCAGTTTTGTGTTTTTCAAGTCACTCAATCCACCATTTCTCAATCCAGTGCAGTTCGAATGGTTCAAATGGATATTCCATACAACACATACTTAGGATCCTTAGTTTCTTTTTTTAAATCAATAAGTTTTTATTTGTAAGAATTTTTAAAACACTACATTAATGAGATATTTCCCAATCGACAAATTTCATGCATATACAGTTCTGAAAGTTAAAATTGCTACATCCTGAACATACAGTGCAACAAATCTCAAATTTTTATTAAAGGTCGAACATTTTAGAAAGACTAATGACTTGCATTTTATTGTATGGTATATTAAAAGCAAGAATAACGGCACTTCGTAATAATAAATAAATGAGAATGAAATGGCAGTTTTTTATTCAAAAATCATGTTTATTCTTGCATCTGAAGTCGCTTTATGTCTCTTGTAAGAAGGAGGAACACATAATAAAACTTCTCGAAATTCGATAGCAAGGGAATCAGGCTGTCACGTTTGCAAATTATCGAACTGCGTCTTCTCTGCTCGCGCTGGTCAAGATCCAGTGATTGTTATTCAGATCTGTTGTTCAATGTCATACAGATACGAATTCCAATGATCTTTAATTGATCAGTAGTTGAGGCAACGTAAATCCTGTCCGAATCGCTTTCAGGTTCAGGTGTCTTACAACCACAATATGTATACCGAATCGCGGAACTGGTGCATTGTACAGTACCAAACATCCGCACATAAGATGCGATGATATCTCTAACGCCATGGATTGTCAGCAATGTGATAATTGCTTGTGTTTCTTTTGATGCTATACCTAAAGAATCAATGCCTGCAATGGAGCATTCAGGAACGGATGCAGACAAATCAATGTGGGGATATCGCTTTTGCTGGCATTCTCTGATTACAGTATCATGAAAGAGGTATCATTCTGTAGATACACCAAGGGTGGTAAAATTTGGTAGCCTGCATTCTCCAACATCACATCGGCCCATTGCCTGGATTAATGATATAAGGCTACTTCTGGGTGTACATCTCATTGGCATCATTCATATGCGAACATTTTTAACGCAACCGAGGGTGGTGCTTAAAGTACAGATCAATAGGCTTCTATTACTCTTGTGTTGTTGAATCTTTGAATTCTGTTTTTTCATTTTATTTCGGGACTGTTTCTCAATTATATTATCCAACTATTTTTAATTATAATTATTATAATCCCTAATATTTATGTTCTTTCGCTCATAGTGAAATCTTTAGAATTATTTATATTTAATCTAATTTCTAATTGGGAAGTTTCACAAGAAAGCCATGATAATTTAACTGTTTGGTTGATCAGATCGGGCGGCAAATCATTTTCAACAAACTTCTTTTAAAGGCGGTAAGGTTCGAAAGGGCGATGGAATTAAGTGGCACAACAGAAATTATTGCTGAAAGCTCAATGGTAAATTCGAAAACATCCTCTTTCGGTTGCGATATTAATATGCATTTACAAGTTGTGCATCTCATTACCTCCACTTCACCGGTACTTTGATCAGTTACCGTTACCTAAAGTTTTAATCCTTGTGACAGTGTCATAGCTTGGGCTTCCGTAACGCTTTCCGTAACGTTAAACCACATGTTTCTCCTTCTTTCCTACTTTTTCTGAGTAAACTGGGAATCAATATCTTGCCTAGGCCGGCGCGTCTGTAGATTTTTTGCCAAGTAAAAACGTCTGTTCACTGGATTTAAAGAGACTTGCAGGACAACACCCCCTATGAGTACGAACTCTGGCAAAGAATGGGGGAGATATAAACTACAATATAACAAAATGCTCTTTAAAGTCTGGGCGATTCCTTCCGTATGTATAACAGCTGCTACCGTTGTCAACAGAGATGCTAAGCATTCTGATTTCTGCATATCCTTTATTTCATATTTTATTCATTTCAACCTTCAATTTATTTCGAGCTGAGATTCCGAGAGAGTAACTCGCACATTGGTTTTGAGCATATTTTGTACTGAGTTGACCTAGTCCAGTAGGCGGTCAGTGAGTTTACGTTTGCTGAGAACATTTGTCGACTGTGAGTAGGATTCCTGTGGGTTTCACAGGTAATTATGTTCTCTTTTGGAACCCCAACATCGGCGATCTCTACAGCGATTATATGGACTCCGCGCAATCAACAATTTCATTTCCGACCGCCTCAAGACAAGATGAATTTTTGAAAGACCCCCAGGTCCAGAAAAAATGTAAAGGCAAGAAATCTAAAGCAATGTCTGAGAACGAAAGCGAACCGACTCCCCGCGGAAAGGAGAAAGATGCTGACGACGCTCGAGAAGCGGAAATACGAAACTTATTGAAATACATGGAGCTGATTATGTGAAGAGACACCTAGATTTCTGAAAACGAATGGCGGCTGCTAAGACCCCAGAGAAGAAAGATAGAGCTGTGAAGGAATTCTCAAAGGCAACTGCACAACATCTTAAAAAGAAGCAACGGAAGGACCAAGTTGCCGATCATCCCAGTACAGAAGGAGAATGGACCACACAGAAGAAAACTGCGAAAATCATGGAAAATATTGACCCGATGGAAATCCCATAAGGAAGCCGTTTTCAGTTACTTAAAAAAATTTCTTAGGAGAACCATACAGGAAGAGCCAATGAAGAAGTACCACCCAGACCCATCGTATTTTCGTACGAAGAAAGTGATTGGATGGTACTGTGTAAGAAAAATTGTTCTGAGCCCCATGAAAGCCATATGAGATTCTCAATTTTGTGGCAATAACCCTGTGAGATGTGTAAAGTGCGGGAACCGACATCGTAGCAACCAGTGCACCATGAAACCAGAGGAAAAGCCTAAATGTATTTCTTGCGGCCCAAACCACGTGAGTACTTAGAGAGAATGCAGCGAATACAAGAAGAAATTTGAGAAAAAAAACTTACAACTTCAACTTAAAGCCACAGAACTAACGGAAGAGAATTTCGCCAGTCCTAAAACGAATACTGGTCCAGTGCAGAAAAATATACCTCAAGCTACATACAGTGAAAAACCCAAAGGAAAAATCACCCCACTTCCGAAAGACTTAAACGACGCAATAACCTGGGTAAAGATGAAAAAAATTAACGCATTCCTTACATCTATTATTTCATTCATCGTAAAGATTAAAACTGCAAAGAATTCAGCTGAAAAATTACAAGCTGGCTTCCAGGCAGCAAAGTTACTTATCTAATTCGCCGAATCAGAGGACTAACGGAAGTAAAGCATGCGATCAACGACGGAACAATGACGAAGCATATAGAGCGAAGCAACAAAAATGTTGGACTCTCTGATCATGGGTTCGGGCCTCGGCCCGGCTCACTTTCTACAAATTAATTATATCTTTTTTTTTTCTTATAGGAGAGCAGCTGTCTGACTGCTTTTACACCTTAGTATCCTTATCCAGAATGGCTTCGTTTGTTTATGCGAACATTTATCTACGCGTCATCGAAAATTTTAATAATTCTCATTCAACATCCCCTTACGTTATGTCAGGAAAGTCATCATGCTGTTTCTTTACGCGTTATACATAGGATGTGGCTTCCAGCCCAGGCGCTTGTTTCAATGTGCGTCTAGCACTTGAGTCTTCAACCTTCAAATATATGATGTATTTGTAAAATAAATATGGTTCTCTTAAAAACTTTATTTCATGATCTAATTACTTTAATGGTGAGCAGTATATATTTGCGGAGATAAAGAGAGAGAAAATTAGAGTTAGTTTATTGAAAGATTTATAATCAGCAAGAAAACGGCTGACTACGGTGCACTGAAATCTGCTATATTCACTCAATCTAGAGGCACAGATATAATCAGAATATTTTTCATAACTCTAATTGTCCCATTTAAAAGAGCATCGCATGATTTACCATTTTTACAGCTTTAATTCATAGCAGGTGGGAAACAAATCTGATGTCGCACAGACGATATAGTGATTAAGGGAGCCTACTGCGGTACCGAAGGGCCCAAGCTTAAATCCCGGAGAAGACATGGATGTTTGCAAATGCATAGTGTTGGTGCGGCATGGCTTCACTTTAAATATGCGGCGAGCCGAAATCCTCTCGTGTGGATTGGTGGAAGGAGAGAGGAGTGGAAGACTCCCAGATCCCCCCGGGGTGCTCTCCCTCAAAATTGGGGACGCAAAATAGAAGTCCAACCTCTCTTCGTAGTAGACTCTGGCAACCATTGTTCCATGTAATATGGTCAAAACAACAACAACAAATCTGATAAAATAAAAATAATTTATAGATACTTCTGTTACCACATTTACATTGCATTTACCAGCTAAGAAAGACCAGATTCAAGACTTTCTTCGGAAATGGGTTAGATCTCGTTGCATTTGATAAATTAAACCATTGCATACAAAATTCTGTATCGATATATCAACAACATTTTTCAAAATTTAGTGAATAATAAAAGCACATCTAGTGAATGTTCTACGCTCATATATTAGTAGGGAATGTTTTCCCTTACTTCTTCTGGATCCGTAGTAGGAGATGCTAATTGTCCGTTAATAGCAATATTAGCCTGGCTGAACATAAACAGAGACATTTGCATCCTAACATCTGGTACAGACTTGCCACGAAGACCCTAGAAATGAACACAAAGTAATATTTATAATGTTAGATGTAAAAGATACATCAGTTTGAAGTTTTTAAACTGGAAAAATTCGTTCTTACTATTGCATTTATTTCAAAGAAGACTTTAAACTTTCTGCTTTAAGTTGGTTTTATTTGAAATGAGAATCATGCTAGGTTTGAACATTGCCAGTCTTATAAGATAATCTGCATTTTGCAGGGGTAACATAATAATTTAATATATTAGCATTAACAACTGATTCATTTTACAACAAATATATATTCTAGGAATAAGAAACAATTGATTGAAAATTTTGATTTTTCAGTTGCACTTCCATTAGAATAGTAAGAAGGAATGGGAGCATTGGGTAAACTGCGGGAGTAGAGTACCCGGCTGATTTTTTCCATAGTTAATTCTTTGGTTTCCTAAATACATCACAGAAGATCACAAGAAGAAAAGTAATAAGTATGCAAATAAACTTGCGTACCAAATTAATCTAAAATAGTATTCATAAGCATGTCCAAGGAATCAGCTGAATTAAAGCTATAGAGCATCAACTGAATTTAAACCAAAGTTTTATTAAAATTAGAAATCTAAAAGAAGAAAGCAACAGAAGACTCATTGCGTTACCAAAATTTCTGTCTTCATTCCTACTGTTTAGCAATTTATTTTGAAGTTCTAATTTTCAAAAAAGTTTGGAAAAATAATAACTATAAGAAAGCAGATGATGTGTTGATAAACTGCTTATGTCAAAGCTCGCTAGGACTACCAGTCGAACTGGAGAAACGCTTTCATGAAGAACTTAAGAAATAGACACTTACTGTGAACTTTAACCAGTTTAGAGTGGGGTAATCTACTGTGAATGTGAGCGATACGACTGTTGACAGCATTCGCGAATGGAATAGAGCATGTATCAAGGACAGTCTCTTTGTTCTACCAGTTCCTTATGATACTAGGTTAGGGTAGGATAGAATAAGAGGACAGGACAGGACTAAGTGTGGGAAGCACCAACACATCGCCATTGGCAGAACTGGTGTCGCTCCTTCTCACTAAACGTCTTGAGATGAACACCTCCACAGGGCGTACTTACGCCACGCATCGGTGTTAATTGAAACGTTAATCATTAGGACATAGAGAACTTGTGGTACGGGAGATACAGTTGCAGATGACAATGACATTACAAATACAATACCATACATTACAGGTGATGGTGAAATTATAAATATATGTGCACAAATAAACAAAAAGAATTTGAATGGAATTTTTTTTATGTGCATAATTGTGGTAGTATTGTCTAGGTGCTAAATCTGTACTGACCTTGATACACTAAGATATAAACTATTGCAATGACTATAAAGGCACCCCCATTGGAAAACTGGGACTCATACCAGAGAAGAAAAAGCACTTATAACAGTTATGGAGCACACAATTCCAAGCCGTGACGGTGTTGTGTGTCAATTATGTTTTTGATACTAATGTGGATTCTCCGGTGCTTTAACAGGAAGCGTTCGAAGTCTGTTCCTGGTGCTGTGAGATGGCGGATATGATAGTCTGCTGTTATTGGGCATTGGAATAAATAATGGTCTGGGTCAACCGGATTGCCACAAACGCATATTTCAGTCTCTGAAAGGTTTCGTTCATAGAAGTACTTTGGGTACGGTTCATGACCAAAGTATATTTAGAGAGATAATAATTATAAATAGTCCGCTCAGTATCGACACATGGGAGAAGCGCATGCGTCCTTCTGCCTTGCGGTCCTTGATCCCATTGTCTCTGCCACTCTTCTTTGGCCATCACTTTTAGCGTAAACTTTAGTGTGGAGCATGGCCATGGGATGTGGATGGTAATGCCTGACTGTTCGAGGGCTGCCTGCTTTGCCAGGAAGTCAGCTTTTTCATTCCCTGCGCGATTGCTATGACCTTTCGTCCAAGTAAGAACGAAGTTCTTTTGGCTGGAATTGATAATTGTTCGTATTTGTCGGGCTATTGTTGAATTTGTTCAGGGATTTTTAATAGTATAGATTGATGATTGGCTGTCACTGACGATATGGACTGTGTTCGTTAGTAGTTGGTGGAGCTCTTGCATTCTGTAGAGGATTGCTGTCAGTTCAGCTTGGTGCACGCTGTTTAGATCTCTAAGGTGCCCTTGCCATTCTGTGTGTGAGCTAAGGTTATATTGGATGGTTGCAGAGCTGCCAACCTTTTGTTCTATCTTTGAGCCGTCAGTGAAAGCCGTCTATTCCGTTGTGGGTGGTGGTTTGTCGAAAATGCAGTGCAGATTTTGAAGATTGAAAGCTGGGTGATGAAATTACTTTTTAGGCTGATCTTCGTAGTCTGTTGGGTGGAATGTGGTGTCATTAAAGTTAGTTGTTTTCTTGAGTTGGAGGACTATTGTGGAGATTGCGTCCATTTGTGATTGGATTGGGAGCAGGAGCACATTTGCCAGTGTCTGTAGGTCGTTGTTAGAGGTAGTTGAGAATGCTCTGGTGATATTTATAAGGAAAGGTCTTTGTATGGCGTTTAGAGCTCGCACCTTTCTGGTGGTCATAGGTATTGCCCAAATAGCGGCTCCATATGTGATGATCTTGTTCACCACGGTTGTAAATAGTATTTTCATAATTCGGTGGTTCAAGCCCCGTAAGTAACCACGCATTGTCTTCAGAGCTCGTGCTATTTTCATAGTGGTGAGTTTTTTGCTGTGTAAGTGCCGAATTCAGTTGAACTTGTTATCAATGGTGAAGCCGAGGTAGTTAATCATTTTCACACATCGGATCCTGTGGTTGTCTATTTTAAATTTGGGATTTCGAGTTATAGTTCGTCCCGTTTTGTGGAGAATCAGTGCCTGCGATTTTTGGTGTGAGATGTGTAGTTTTATTCCTTTTGCACAGAGCGTTGAAAATTTGAAGGGTGTTATTGCAGTTTTCCTGGAGTTTTTCTCTAGAGCGGCCGTTGATGATGAAAGCTACATCGTCTGCAAATGCTACGATTTGTGTGTGGGCAGGCCAGTGATGGTCGATAATATGCTTAAAAGTGAAATTCCAGAGGTCCGCGCTCATACACGATCCCTGTTGCTTATTGCTTTGCGATGACCGAGTTGTTGTGGAGTACTAAATCTAATCTATCTTTTTCTATTATGCAGGTAGTCAGCTGTTGTTAGATAGAGGTTTCTTGGACATTGAAGGTCTCTGAGGACCTGCTTGACTGCAGGCCACCAGAGAGAGTCAAAAGCGTTCAACGCTAAGTGTAGCTGTTGCCCTTTGTTAACTTTGATTTGCGTTAGTGCTGTATCGATGGCATGAATGGAGCTATTCGGTTTAAATCCCAATTGGAGAGAGTTGTTTTTATTGTCCTTGAATACATGGTATTTCAGTCGGCTTATGAGGAGTCCTTCGAGTAATTTTCCAATAGCTGGTAGAAGATTGATCGAAGGGTACGAGCTTGGAACCTCTGGATTCTTGTTCTTCTTTGAGAAGAGCACTATTTGTCCAATTTTAAAACAATCGGGTAAACAGTGGTGAGCGAGACATTTGTTGTAAAACGTGAGCAGAGTTTCTGGAAATGCTTTGTTGATGAGCTTAAAGACTTGGTTATTAATGCCGTCGGAGCCTGGTGCTTTACGTTGTTAAGGGATTTTACAATTTGAAGTATTTCCTTTCTTGTGAACGGAATGTCATCTGGTGTGTTTGGTGTTTGTGTGGATGCTCTTAGTTCTTTTTGCTCCACTTCTTCTGCACTGTCGTCTTTCAAGAAGACTTGGTCCAGGATACCGTTGATGGTGGTGCTCGTGAGGTCCATACCATTACTTTGTGATGTATTGGTTGTTGCGTGGATTTGAGTTGGTTTATAAATCTTGGAAGTGGCCATTTTGTAAAAGGCTCCATAAGTAGTTTAATTTTTAGTACAGTAGGTAGTCCAGGATTTTAGTTTTGCTTCAATTGGTTTCTTTCTGTAGATTGCACGTTGCTTGTTAAAGTCGATCCATGCTGCTTTGCGTTCCTCGTCGGTCGTTCTCCTTTTCATTTTTCGTCTTAGAGCTTCGGTTATTTGGCGCTCTGCTCTTAGTTCCTTGGTCCACCAGTTGGGCTTCGTGTTGTGGTTGACTGTTTTGATTTTAAGGGTGTAGGGTTTATATTTATTATTTTAACTAACATTTATTTTAAGTTTAAACTACGTTTCCTGTCAAGCCTTACTTTCCCCTGGAATTGCCAATGCCAGAGTATGTAAATTTTAGTAGAACGCGCAAAGTATTCAAATTGTCAGCTGAAGTAATTTGAGTTAAATAGAAGGGAAACGAGTTCGAAAGTGTGCTTTCTTGCTTCACGAGCCTGGAGGTGGCTAGGTAGAAATTGAAGAACCACGCATTTCGGCCTGTGTGCTTGCCTCAGCAGATAGTTGAATCTTTCAACTTAATATTCAGAAGTTTGCTGAAATATCAGCGGTATCTTAGAACGCGGTTAGGTTAGTTACGTTTAGAGAGCCTCGTTGGTAGTAACTTGTTATTATTCATTTTTAGTTTCTTATTTTTATTTTACCGCCGGGTCGGTGTAGTTTGTGAGCGTCAAGAGCACGCATCTGTAATTTCTAAAGTTGAATAAAAAGGGATTTAAACCCTTCTCAAGACTTTGTGTACTTTCCAGTTCATAACAATCACCACTATTGTTGCGTGCAGGTTGGCACCGCGCAACATTACAAGGGACGTATGGCTGATTTCTAAGATATGCTTGGTAAGAATTGTAGCATATGCATTAACTTCATCTTTGGAGTTGATGCTTTGAATTTCATGGAGAATGATATGTGCTTTGGAGTTCAGAGCTTTAGCAAATTTCTTTTCTGCATTTCGGTTGATGCGATAACGTAGCGTTTGAGTGTGCGGAACCTCTAATACGATATCAAAAGTAATTATTTGATGGTCTGAGATGGACTCATCTTCGCAAATACGACGATTGTTAATCCTGTTGATTAAGTGATGGGAAGAGAGTGTTAGGTCTGGCCACCCTTTTCCGTGATTGTGACAAAGGTTGGCGGGTCTTCTGGGGTATTGTGTAGTAAGAGGTTATGGGCGTTGATGAAATCTTCCATCTGCATGCCTCTGGTGTTGTTACGGGGATAACCCCATAAATTACTGTGGGCGTTAAAATCTCCAGAAATCAAATGTTGGCGTGGGTGTCTTTGAAGTATATGGTGGAGATCGTGAAGTGTAGTCTCTAGTTCCTCACTTGGTGACGCGTAAGCGCTGGTAAAAAGATACTTGAGAAAGAGATCTGAATTTGATGTTGAAATTGAAATAGCTATAATATCTCTGTACTTCTTGATGACTATTGGCGTACTTCTTGATGTCTTGTTGATGATGTAGATGGCAGCTCTTGGTGCTTGAGATGACTCCGTAACTTCGTGCGAAATTACATTCCATGTTGTCGGCAGGTTTCCTAAAGATCCTTGCTGACAGTATGGTTCTTGCCCCAGGATGATGTCATGGTAATGTTCTGAGATGTACTGAACGAGGTTGTCGATGGCAGTTTTGGAGTGTTGGAGGTTAATCTGAAATACCTTAATGCTGTTGTTGTTCGTTGATTGACATATTAGTGCCTGTGGAAGGCAGCTTGATGTAAAAGTCAGATTCATGGTGGATTTACTCATGATATTGTGTGCAATTACGAATTCTATTTACTTCTTCTCTGTAAGAGGAACAGGAATATGTGTATGCAGAATGGTCGTATTCGTAGTTGGAACCGTAGTGTTTGTTATTTATGTCACAGTTGATGCGTGTTGGAGAATCTGCGCGACATTCACTTTCTCGATATTTTCCCCCACAGTAGGCACAATGAGGGTGGTATGTGCAGTCTTTAGACCGATGGCTGAAGGCCTGACAATTAAAACATCTACGGACACCTATAAACTCTGAAATGCTACTGGTGTGCCAGCCGAAGTGTACGGAGCGGAGGGACATGCATTTTTGGAATCCAGTAGGAAAGCCTTTCAAGATCCATTTTATTGTATTCTTTCTGTCTTTGAGTTTAAATAATGGCTTAAAGTTTGATAGTATCCATATTCGTGGCTTGTGAGAGTGTTTGACAGACGGCGTCAGCTGTTATAGTTCAGAAAAGGTAGTTGATGTATAGCACATTTCGGCGTTCTCATCTTGGGAACTTTGGTGTGAATTATCTCTGTGGCCTTTTCTGAGTGCTTAAGTAGGTTATCTAATTTTATTACGTCGTCTTCGGAGGTACAATGCACTGCTATTCCACCTTGTTTAATTGGGATTATCTTTTTGATCTGTTGTTTCACCTGGTTAATAGGGAGAATGCCTAGTTTTTCTTGAAGTTTTGTGACGTTCCTGGCGTCGTTGGCATAAATCAGGAGGACTGGTTCCTTAGGTTTCTTGCTCGCCATTTGGGCGTATGATGGTTGCGGTGGAGTTGTGTTAGGATGCTCGTATGAACGGGCGACAGTCTCAGTGTGTTGATGTTGTTGACAATCATCTGATTGGTGGGAGTAATCAGTTGGTGTTGATTGGTGCATATGCTTTCCTTTGGGGCTGTTATTTGCTGCTGGATCTGCTGCTGCAGATTCTGCTGTACCGTTGGTTGCTAGTTGATAAAGCGCTGTTAGAAGAGCATGTAATTCTTTGCGGAGTGCAGTTGGAATTGCATACTTTAAGCGGTACCTGTAGTTTGCAATATCGACACAGCGAGAATAGATACCGTGCACTGAAGTGGGTAATTCTGTGTCGTTGTTTTCTTGTTGTTACTGCCAGCAGATTATCACGGATCCTTTGACAACTGGGGGTGCCTTCGGTGTGGTCATTGTTGTCATATGTGTCGTGTTGCGACATGTTTGTGGAAACAGTGTCAGTGTGTGATACACAGAGTGAGTGAATTACAAATATGTAGCAAATAACTAAATACTAGAAGTAATTAAAGTGCTAGGATCAATATTATGCACAATTCAAATGCAGTTGAAATATTAAAGTAGAATATAAGAGCATAACTGCAAACAGTAAAGATCACTCATTTAAAGTATTAAATAGGAGAAACGAGTACTATTGCGAAACATTCAGTTACCCAATCATGACATAAAAATTAGATATTGTGTGATGTGATATTAAATAAAATGAGCTGAAAACAAAAGATTCAATACACAGGGCACGGGGTCAAAAGGGAAAGGGCTGACAAAAGATAACTTGAGTACTAGGAGTTTGCAGGAAAAAGAGGGGGAAGGAAAGGATGAAATAGAGTGTTAATTAAAGAGGGGCGGGAAACTAAAGGGGAGGTTAGTGCATTACGTTTTTAGAAACTAGGAGGTTAGAGGAGAAGAAAAAAAATGGAATTAAGAGTTTACGAGAGTTTGGGAGGGGGGAGAAACGGAAGAAATAAAATGTTAAATAAAATGAGGGGGGGAAATTAGACAGGAGCTTAGTGCATTACGATTTTAGAAACTAGGAGGGGAGAGGAGAAGAAAGAAATTGGAATTAAGAGTATACGAGAATTGTGAGGAGAGAAACGGGGAGAGATAAATTGTTAAATAAAATGAGGGGGAGGGAAGAATTAGACAGGGGGTTAGAGCGTATATATTGTTAGAGACTAAAAGGGAGAAGAGAAGAAATAAGGCGAAATTAAGATTTTACGTCGATTGGGGGGGGATAAAAGGAGAAATAAAATGTTACTTTAAGATGGGGAGGAGAAATTTAACGGAGGATTTAGTGTTGCTGGAAACTAGGAGAAAAGGGGAGAAGAAAAGAAGTGGAATTTTGAGTCTACAGAAGTTAGGAGGAGAGTTCTAGGAGAAATAAAATGAAAATTAAGCTCAAAAAAGAGGGAAAGAAGAGGTGGTGGAGGGAGAAGCGAAGGGTGTTATTAGAAAGAAGACACCGAGATAGGAGAAATGCAATAAGAATTGGAGCGCTAAGACAATTAGGAGAGAAGATATAGGAGTTTGAAGTTTTTAATAGGAGGCTAATATAAAATTTATATTAAAATGTGTGGGGAAGGCTTGTATTTTCAGAACTATTAACTGATAGGTTTTCGGAAAGGGGAGAGGGAGTAGATTAAGGAAAAATAGGTGCTATTAAGTTATGTTGGATAGGGGCAGAAAAAATTCGAGAATTAAAACGAAATTAAAGTCAATCAAAAATGTAATAACTAAGGAACTATTGGGTATTGAGACGGAAAAAAATTAAATGATAGTAGGTGGGGGATTAAGGGCTATCTATTATTAAAATTTGGAGTGCCTAGGACAAAAAGAAAAAAATTGGTGGCTAAGGGTTAAAAAAAAAAGTAAGATTTAGGGTTAGGGGCCTCTGATATTGAAACTTTGAGGGAAAAAAAATAATGCCTTTGCGTTCTGGTTAGGAATCAGAAAAAAAATGTGCTATTATATTCGGAATACCAAAAGCCAAGGCGGTAATACATTATCAAGAATCAAAACAGTATAATATAAACAGTGCAATTTAGAAATTATGGCAATAATAATTCTTAAATATAATCAGACAGTAGATACAACTAATTGAACATTATAATAAAGGAATACTACGTGACGAAAGATAATATATTGAATAAAAAGCACAATTAAACAGAGTTAAAGATATAAGTCAGCGCTGTCAAGACAATTAAATTCTAATCAGAGTACACAAATTAAGGTGTTAAACACAATTAAACACTTTGAAACTGTATTAAGATATCGATTAAACAGCTATCGAGATCGTGACATTAAATTAAACAATGATAATAAACAATCAATCGTCTTAAAGGCAAGGAATTAAGTCCAAAGTCAGTGGCGTGAAGGTTGTTGTTGTATAGAATACAACCGCAATGGCGGACTTAGTCGTCGATCGCTAAGTATAAATTAATGAAATTATATTTTGACAC